CTTATAAAAATATTCCGTATATTACTTTCCAAACATAATGGAACGCGAATAGAATGTATCATACAGAAACAAAGTTTTGATAAAAAACCCGATATAATTGCATTGCTTTAATGTTTTTATTAAAATGCATACGTTTAACGAAACTTAATTTAGTATATGTTTGCATAGTACGTCAAAAGAAGTTTTCAAGTTATACTAAAAAAAAAAGCATAAATAAATGATTGCATTATTTGGAAAGTAAAATTTTTTAACGGAAAATGTAATGTGGTTGCCGTTTAGATCAGTACGAAATCGCTCTTCTTTTATAATAACAGACTGGAAGCTCTTGTCGGTTCTACAAAGCGCAGAAACGACATTTTTTTTGGTCTATACACTCCCTGGCGTTTTTTATTGTTATATATTTTCGATTTATGGTGAATATGTAGAACTGATTATTATGCGATAAATATTACGTTAAGAACGTGCACAAGAAAATTCTAGTTTCCGTATTTGGTAGTACGAAGCCAGTCATTACCGGACTAGGTTTTTTTAAATTATTTTTTATACATGCTTCGTGATTTTTTCTATCTTATCATACAATTAGTTGTTGGTTATTTTTATTGTCGATCTAATGTTTGAGATATTCACATTTGCAATACACGGTACCTGTCATGCAATTTACACGTCGATTTAATACATAAAATTATGGTCTGGTCCTAATCAATTGCATTCCAAGCTGAATGTTTCCTCACGTATTTTACTATCAACATTTTTTTCTTTTGTTTGTCCTGAAACCTAATCATGAATATGATGTTGAAATAATCTATAAATTGATACTTCGTGAATGGTGCTCGTGATAGATGTTAATGTTTATTTTCAAGGATTCCCAACGATTGAGAGCAATCACTTTGATGCATTTCAAAGAATGATATTGCTTCTCATTGAATCATTTTTTATCAATGAAGATTTATCGTTACTATTCAGAAAATTAAATACATTTTCTATCGACACAAAATAAACAACTAGTTTTTGTCAAAATAAAATAAATCAAAATACTTTAGACGAATTAAGTAATATAAAGCATAACCAACGTAATTATTTGTGGGCTAAAATTGTAACATTTTTTGTATATAGCCTAATATCTAATGTGCATTCTAATAATTTAATTTACTATTTAATATAATGAAGAATGTATATTATTTTAAGTTAATTTTGTGTAATGAAAAAATGTACAAAAAAATTAAATCATTTTTTTAGCAACTAATTTTTAGTATTTCAAAATAGTTAAAATGTTTCAATAGTGAAATATTTAAAAATTATTTATTTTTAATTATTTAATATAAAAAAGAACACATTAAAATTTTTATATGCATTCATTTTCTTTAAAATAATTAAGCTATTTCTAACAAAATAATTGAATACTATTTGTTTATTTTTGCATTCATTGATTTAAATAACTCTCATTTCACAAAGACCGTGTATAAAATCATGTTTTTTTAAAATTTGTGCCACTTTTTCTATGAAATCTTGTTTATTGCGTTGTTATTTGAGTTTGTATATTTAATAATAATATTTTAAATAATAAAAATAAATTATATATTCAAAAAGTCTAAAAATAAAACAATAATGTAGAAATCTGAAATTCTAATTAGAAGTTCAATATAAATATTATAATATGTATATTTAAATTTTTCCAATTTTATATATTTTAAGTAGAACAGTTGTAATGCATAATTTCGCACAATAACTAGTAAAGGCACTTTATAAGGAAAAAATATGTTGAATTTAAATCGGATTTTTACTGGAAGTAGTTTTTATTCAAACAATTTAGTTCTATAATGTCATTAAGATTTTAGAAAGACAAGCTTTAATTTGTGTTGAAAATGGAAATATAAACGTAACAGCTATTTAAAAAACAAATTAACATTAATAATATTAAATTTAAGTCTACTTTTAAATAAAATTGTATGAATCTCTGTTCAATTTACGATGATTTGTTTATAAATTTTTGTACATAAATTGTAATAAAGAAAAAAAAATCTTTAATTAATAGAATTAATTTTATGACATGTGTTTACATAAAAATTCATTGAAATTTTAATTAAACAAGGAATAGGTTATATGACAAGTATTCTATGATATGAATTTCAGTAAGGTATATATTAATTATTGAACCAAATTATGTTGTGTCAACTAGTATGTTTATCAGTCATCGCTGAGAGTTCATTATGAAAATCGTATTTAAAAAAAAAACACAGTTTAATTGCCATTACAAATATTACCAGTGTAATTTTCGTTTTTCCGGTTTGCATAAGGCGAAAGTATTTTTGACTTGAGAAAGAAAATTTGTTTTAAGTGTTACTTCATGATACGCATTGCGTATTTGAAGTGTTTTGAAATCGATAATAATATCATTAAAATAAATGTATACCACGTCTTAATAATAATTCTCGAATGCGAAAATGATCAAATCAGACGAAGTTCATCACAGGTACCTTTAATAATATTTTTAGCTATATAGCTAAATAGATGTTTTGACGACCGAATTAATGACTGTCTGAGTGTATTAATGATTTAATAGTTAGGTTATTTAGTAAAAAAAAATATTTTTGTAATTTTGAACACATCATATAAATTTTAAAACTGTATCTATACGACGCATGGATCAAAATGTAACTTGAAATATTTTTGGCATAATTTATAGTCTTAACAATGTTTGTATTATAATTTTTTAGTAAATTATGATACTTAACGCTTTTTTCAATTATCGTATTTATTATTACTGTTTAATATAGATAAAAAAAAAATTAAATTTTACCATAAGTCTGCTAGTAAATTGTAATAGACATATAATTTCTTTCACAATGTATAACATATAACAAATCGAAAGAAACAATTAAAAAATCACATTTATTTTAAATTTAAAGTAAAGAGTTAATATCTAAAATGTTTTTATTATATAATTTTATGGAAAATTTAAGTAAAGTAAAGATTTAAAAAAAAAATGTGTAAAAAAATGTTAGAAACTAAAAATTAAACGAGAATAGATTGTAAAAATCAATCAACTTCTACAATATCAAATTACTCATGTTTTATGTACATGTTTCACATTTTATGATGTAACTTGAAGAAATGTCAACATTAGTGACTTTATATTTTTATGAAAAGAAAATAAATCGATTAAATGTTTACATATTGTTGAATAAGAAATAATAGTTACCTATGATATGTTGATAATTATTGCAATTGTTGATGTAGTGCATTAGTTCTTTTGTAATTGAAGAAAAGTTACAGAGAAATATTATTTATAATGACTCTCGTAGAAAATAAACAACAAAAGACTAACATTTACTTCAGACAAGACTAGAAAAAAGTGTATTATTATTTAAAATCAGGTCATATATGTAATGTTTAAATTGCTAACACATTTATTTAACTATTTAACAAGTTTTATCAAGAGAGTATTTCACGGGACCAGCAGTATTTATAATTTTTAAAGTTGATATTTACGAAATATCAAAAAAAACCTATGAGTGTTATTAATTGTAAAGTGATTGTTATCAAATTTTTTGTAAAATAAAAAATAATTTATTTTAATGAAAAAAAATATTTGTGAGATTAATATTTTGATTATCATTTTAAACATTTCAGTTACAGGTATACTATTTTAAGCTTTTTTCAAGCTGATTTTGAAAACAATAGAAATGTTTTTTTGCATAATGTTGAACGAATCATTGGTTTGCGTAAGGTATACACATGTAAGGTTTTGTTATTGATCTCATCGACAATAATAAACCATAACAAACAAAGTAGACGTGACAGCACAGGATATCACTGTAATTGGCTTTGTTTCAATTTTTTCGGTCGTGCAGATTTATAGGCCAAACATATTTACACAAATAATAAATAATAATAATAAAGACTTAAAAGATTGTACCCTATGTCGATAAATGACGTAAAAAGGAACTAACGTTATGACCTTGTTAATTTTTTTAGGTTCTCACGTTTTTGTGATTATAAACTGTTAACATTTTTTTGGATTGAAATACTCATTCGTGCTAGGCCTTATACGGCTAGGCCAATGTCAAGGGGTTAACTTTGTCAATCGACACCCGGTAGTTGCAATTATCTAATTGTAACTACAATTATCACGACTAGTGTAATTAATTTATAACTTTTTTCAAGTTTTCCCTTTTGCCCCCTCTTTGGCCATCACTAGATATTAGATTGATTGTATGACACCTGCCTTCAAGGGTAATGAGGCGAACTAACACATACAATAACAATAATAATTAACGTGTGCACGTTTGTCGATCATAATAACATCGCTGATGCATATTTAAAGTTACTAATAGATGATTGTACTCAGCGAGAATAATTATCAATACAATTGTTATTATTGATCGACACTCCTTGTGTGACGGGCATTATATGCGCCTGCATCACATTAAAAATTACTTACGAATCACAAAATGGCAGAATTGATCTCTAGTGGAAATTTAAAAGCATTCTACAAAAAGTGTAGAAAATAAAAATTGCTCAGCGTTAAAAAGTCGTGATTTTTTATGAATTTTCTTAATGGGTGTGAACAACTTCGGGATACCCATTGAGTTTCAGTTTTCAAGTACACGTGAAATAAAAAGTGAGTCGTAATATTATGTTACACGAGTTTTAAAGTGCAATCTATTATGTATACAGCGACGTTTATCTTTGTGACTTTTTGGTTGGTGTTATCATTGCAAAAACATACATATTTTGTAGATATCACCTACATTGTTATATGTTTAAATTAATCATTAAAAATATGTTGGTGATGCGACATAAATGAAATGAAATATAATGACTTGTTAATTTTATTGTAAATTTATATTTAAATCACGACATAATCATTTAGTGAACAATCGAATTATATTTTACATTTTGCTCGTCATATCATGTCAACTAGCGCTATTGAATTTATAATGCTATTAGTTAAGCTTGTACACTCAAATTATTTTAAATGACAGAATTTTAGTCGTATAGTTACAATTAAATTATATGCTTTTAAATTGTATAGTGTACTAAATTGATAATCCATTTATATAAAAAATATAATGAAAATTTTTTTAAAAAAGTTGAAGTATAATAATTTTTTTCTTTATTTGTTAATTTAAATGATAAATAATTAATGTTCGTTATTTGGTTTTATTTTACTTTATAGAAAAAATCATAGCAGATCAGTGTCTATAGGAAAAATAGGTACTTCTGAATTATTTATAATTCTGTACAATGAGTATTGTAAGTACAAAGTGTATAATAAAATAAATTTTAATTTAAATGGCTAGAAAATTAGAGACAAAATTATTGTTTAAGGGAAGAAATCATACTAATGATGAATATTTGGCAAATAAAGATAAATACAGAAATTTGCACAAGATATTAAATACAAAAAATTTATTGGTTTTTATAAATCATAATCGGGACAAATTAATTGATATTCAGATTAAGTTTCATGTTATTTTCCTTTATTCTTACGATAATAAGATAATTCTTTACTTTTTCTTAAATGTATCTTTTTCTTTGGATTTAACCCACTGGATTTTTAAAAATGAATATTGAAAAATGAAAAACAGCAATGTTAATGTTAAATAAATATTTACTTTAAATCAATGTTGTATAAATTATACAAATTAGGTAAATTAGTTATTGCGTGTTCACACTGTTTTACACACTCGATGAGATATTTAATTAATTTTTCGTTAGATAAAATTTATTATTTTTATTACAATAATATAACGTTATTATTAAATCAATATAAATAATTTATGTAAAGTCTTTAATATGTGCGTATTCAATGTATTTAATTGAAGTTATTTTAAAATAAATTTAATTTAAGGATTCGATTTAGAGTTTTCTATTGTTGGGATGGAGATTTGTGAAAAAATACGATTTAATCTCGTAAAGATGTGACATTGATTAGTAACGTGATTATTCTCTCTTAATTTAACAGGCTAGGGAAATTGGTGTTAGCTGAAACACAAACTTCACATAATTTTGCACCCGAACAGAAGGTGTTTCCGTTTATTGTTAATGGAACGCACGTATCCATTACAAGTTCCCGCTGAGAATATCCAATCAGAAAATATAATACTTCGGTATAACGTACGCTTGATCCACACTATATTATTATTATTATATATTGTTCGCAAAACCATTGTGTATCTCGGCAATCAATTTTTCCTCGTTACGTACACATTCGCGTATAAGCCCACCGTATATACCCATAACACGGTTCCCCCTGTTTATTATGAACGGCTAACGATCATCGCCTTAACACCTAATGCTTTTAAAATCTTAGTACGCCATTATAAGTTAGTCAAAGTCGTTCGAAATCTTGAGTCAGATAGCGTCTACGCCTTGCAAATGCCAAATTTATGAAATGTCTTCAGATCAGTTTTTACAGTCGCTGTTTGTATCGATCGCATGGTCTTGGAATTCGTTCGTGGGCGAGAGTCAGTAATTTTTTAGAACGCCAGCCCATAAACTCTACAAAAAAATACCGGTAATTATGGCGATTTCCTTCTTCAGCCCGGGACGATTGCACGCGTTATTAACCCGACGCCATCTGCAGCAATTGGTATAGTCTAGTATTGATAGCCGGATAAAAAAACTGGTCTTTGCGACTTTCTCGCGAACGTCCGAATAATAATAGCAAAAATAAAATCGACCGTAACAACGTTGTTCGGCAAAACAGGACATTTATCGTTTATTATTATAAATGTAACTTTCACCGAGAGACGAGGAAAAGGTCATCTTGTATGGTCTGCTCTTCCAATTGCACCGAAAAATCGTTTTTGTGTACCGTTACCATCGCAATAGAAATTTTCGATGTTCCAACAATAATATTAGATGTGCTTTACAGTACATACATAACGTACAAGGCAATGGCATCGCAGTCGTGTCTAGTCACTATAATTCGTTTTGGGCTGACCGACACGAAGCAGATCTTCAAAAAAAACTTGATGTACAAAGCAGACGAAGATTTAAAATGTAATAGCACGCGATCCGATATCTATATATTGTAATATATTGTTCGCCAAATGAACGGTATAAAGTACACGTGAACAAATACCTTATGAATTACCACCTAAAAAATTATCTCTTTTTTACTTCACACCCGCGTATAGTAAAAGCCTGCACATACATCAAACGTAAGCAAAATACCATCTGAAGTATTTGCGATCGGTGGATTATTGTCTATTGTATTCAATCTAAGGAATAGATTTTATTATAAAAATTTTGGAATTATTACGGAAACAAACTTTCCAACTGGATTATTTACTTAGGTCTGTTTTAAAATGAGGTAGTAATTCTTAGGTTTTGGCAAACATTTTTAAAATTAATTTTTTATACTTTGATACCAAGTGTATACTTAATGATAGCTCAAACAACAAAAAACGATACTAATATAATATGACATAAAGAAAAACCTGTTCCCAGGTGATTTCTAATGTTGGTATATACTTAATTAAATCACAGTCGAATAATATGAAAATAAATTAGTCTTTAAAAACAGAAACTGTCAATCTGTCGTTGTTTATAGTTTGTAAAGTTTTCATTTATAACTTTACCTATTTAAGGAAAGTAAATTTTATTTGATTATATTCGATCAATTTTGTTTGAAAATAATTTGTTCGGACGTTATTAAAGGAAAAGGAAAATTTGTTAGATAATTATTACTGACGTAGAAACAATATTTACTGTTATTGAAATTTGACATTAAAAACTTTGAAAATAACTTAATTATCAACTTTTTTAATTTAAATAAAAAATTCTTGGAAATTTATTTGATCAAACTAATATTTTTGTGTATTCTTATTGTCGTAATTCAAGATATTTTCTGCAATGTTCCATCCCTGGAAAATGTGTTTTTGACAATTTAGAGGGGAAAACAAAGCACAAAAATCAACTTTAACTCTATTTTTATTTGCTAGCTATCAAAGTAAACAAATAAAAGATCACAGTTTGGCTTTATCTTGTTGTTGAACTACACTTCAGTAGTTTAACAATAAAATATGAAAACTGATGACACTCGTGATAAAATAAAAAGAGCTTTGTCCAATTCATCCGAAAAAGTAAGTCGGATTTATAAATAATAAATTTGTAAACTTATGTTTATATTCAATATGTTATTTATTTCGAATACATTAAATTATGTCATGTAATTTGAAGTTGAAGGCAATCAGTAATCATAGGCAATGATTACCGATCACTTTATATGGTTCGTTTCACTTACAAGAGAATTATGCGGAAATGCGTTTCCGACGATGACTTGGTCCGTAATAAGATTATGCGATGGATATTAGATTTATTGCGCGTACATGGATATATAATATTATTACTATAATTCCGCTGTATTCGGATTCATGAAAGTCAACAGCCATGTTTTACTCAATTATAACTTATAATTTACAATTACATTAAATTAATGCCCTGGTACATTATATAAAGCTACGTTTTCTGAATTATAACAGGACGTTTATTTCTTGGTGGACAGCTTTCTTAGAACTCGTAGCGTTTTTAGATCTTTGTAATATCAAGATTGAAATAGAAAAACTAGTACATGTGTACAAATTTAATTGTCTTTATGGACATCTATGGCTGTCACTTCTAATGACAAAAGCCACGTAAAATTTTGTATTACATACATTTTTAAAGAATTTTCCCCCCCTTTTTTTAGATGTAAAATAAAATTTCTGCGAAAATACGAATATAAATAAAAAATAGCTATATGTTAGTGGATAAAAGGTACTTTTATATCAAGCAAATATATTTAGTCTAATATTTGAAAAACCGAGTAAAATTTAAATAATTCGGCTTAATTTATCATCAAGTTGAAGTGTATATTCCAAGCATCAAATATTTTTTATGCTTCTATTAATGTTCCTCTATAAATAATCTTTTTTTCAAATCTAAATAGTCATCAACGAGTTAATATTTATTTTTGAATAAATATGAGTATAGAGTGTCAACCATTACCAATGGTCAACCAACGCAGATCTCAGTTGATAACATATGCTCATAATAATCGTTATGAATTAATAGTTTTGTAACATCATATGTGAAGCGTAGGTGACGTCGATTCAGTCGAGTCCAAAAAAAAAAGAATCCTACTTCGGTACGGTTTTTGTACAGCGCGTACCTGAAATTAATCTCATCCGTTTATTTTACATTCGGAGTTCAATAAACAATCCTTTAGGACATCCAACATTCATATTATTAATCACAGTTCATAATATTAGTAATGTACGTCAGCTGGGCCCACTACGCGCGGCTTTCAGCACAACGAATCTCCGGATAAGTAGGATTGATTGCGCAATGTTGTTTAACGGATACAAAATCGGACGGTATAAAAGTCAAAGTGTGTCACGTGTTCTCGGCACAATGATTGATGTAGTCACACGAAATCCACACCCGCCGGCACGTAAAAAATTACAGGTAAACGTAAAAGCTGCGAAATAAACGTAAACTCGTTAACTATTGTTTTAATTATAGCGAAAAAAAACTATCGACCGTAAAAAACAGTATGACAATAATTGTTCCTGTTGGCGTACCGTTTCTTAGTCGTCAATGCAATCCGATGACTCTTTAGAGCATAGATGTACTTTATTTTATCAAAGCGTTATATCAACTTCAAAAGAATACATCACAATTATTCTAAATTATTTTTGTTGAACTTTATTAATAGAATTTAAGAGTACAATCATTTTTGAATTTCATTACAGTATCATTATTCATTAATCAGCATACCACGTCGAAACTATTGACTAACCTAATTAGGATTTTAAAAAATAAACAAAGATTTTCCATTTTTTTTTACTATTTTAAAGTCGTTTAATAATTCTAAGCAATTCATACATTTTTGTTTTTATTACTTAAAAATTTATTTTGGAATTAGCAATGGTGATAACACATTTTACATGGGTATAATAACTAGTGATGTAAAATAATGGTAGTAATCTTTTTTTTAAAAATAATCTCGGGAATGTGTCTTGAGAATATTCTCAAAACACGACAAAATTCTTTTAACTTGCTTTTGTTATATTTTACATTATTGTAAAGTATAAGAATAGAAGTTTATCTAATTTTATGTTTTCAATTTTACAAACACTTATAAAAAATTGAGAAGCCATTTTAAAAGCTATAAAATAATTTTTTTACTCAAATGTTCTTTGAAGAATTTTTTATATTTTTGTTATTATGCGTCTATTGCCAAAGTTAAAAGATAATTATTTTTC